GGTGTACTTATCCCACCAAACATTGTAGACATGAGCGACCACTCTCCCATACCAGGATGGATAGTAGAGTCCCTAAAGGCAGTGAAATACATAGACTCTAACCATTTCTCAGTTCCACAAGGCAAAAGAGCCATAGAGCTAGTAGCTGGAAAAGAAAGTGCTATTTCACAAGTAGCTAGAACCATTCCTAACAAAACTTATGTGCTATCATTTGCTGTTGGAGATGCCAGAGATTCATGTGAAGGGTCATTGATTGTTGAAGCATTTGCAGGCAAAGATACCATAAAGGTTCATTATGAGTCCAAAGGAAAAGGTGGGTTTAAACGTGTATCATTCAAGTTTATAGCTACTAGCACTAGAACACGCGTTGTGTTTTATAGCTCCTTATACACCATGAGAAGTGATGAATATCAATCTTCATTTTGTGGACCAGTCATTGATGATGTAACCTTGCTCAGTGTTCGTAAACCATAGGGAATATTTGAGACATTGATTATAAGGAACAAAGATATGTTATACTAAGATCATGTCTCATGTGTTGTTTGTACCAATGATAATGAGATAATGAACGTTTAATTGATATAACACTTCTTCATATCCGGTCACGGATCAGACTTCTGTATGCTACCTTGCATGGATTGTGTTTTTCATTTCTACTAGAAAAAATAAGAGAATACAAAAAGATGATGATGTTAGTATAGTATAGACGAGTAAGACTCCTCACCATTAATTGAGAGGCAAATACCTAAAAAATCAAAGAAAGTGAAAGATGCAATGTCACTTTTGTCATTTTTATTTAAATGATGATTACATCTTTACCATTATAATACACATAAAAAACTCACTCGTCTCTCCATTAATGGAGATGAGTCCTACTCAGTATAGACATGTGGCATAGGAGTGTATTTCTACTTTTTATATATGAAGAGGCTTCTATGTACAACAATGATCTATTTTCCACCTTATGGATGAAAAGTCGCATAAGCATCCATGTGTACAATTTGAACATTAGAACAAAAAGTTACACATTGGTGGGAAAAATTGTCCTTTAGGACACCACATGAGCAAATATTTAAGTAAATGCATACTTGTAAGACTCACACAAATAGAGATTTTTCTTACTCAAGCATTGTTTATGGAAGAAGAAATTTCAAACTTCAGTATCGCTAGGCATTGAAATCTACCAATGTTAACAAAACCTTTTGTATATTAAGAAAAAAGGAAATAGATATAAATATCTTAGATGCTCCTTGAATTTTTTTTTCATGGGATGTGTACAAATTAACAAAATATTTGATGAGTGATGTTAATGATTTAAATAAGGTGAGTGGAGTGTGGTATTGAAAATGATGGTAAATCAATGTTTGTAAATATTTATACACAATTGATATATCATTAATTTGTATTACTTATATTTAAGAGCCAATAATAATTAAACATGAACGATAAATAATATAATGATATTATATGGTTCTCCTTTGCATACATTCTTTCTCATCGAAAACAAAAAGAGTGAAATTGATGGAAGAATATGGATTAATGTGAGTAAGGGTATTTTGATTCTCTGTGTATAAAAACTCCGGCCCAGAAACCAAAATCCAGAACACATTAGAAGGCCCAATTATGAAGTCTCAACGTGATGGTGCGTATAGATGACGCTGAAGTGAGTGTAAACTCTTCCAATATATAAACCCTAGCCCCCTTTTTCTTCTACGACAACCATTACTCTCTCATCATGGTACCTTACCCAACCTTCTATCTCCAACATTTTTATTCGATTTCGATTTGATTAAGGATTTCATGTTTTGTTCTCTTTGTTTTCATTTCAGGCTCTTCCAAATCAGCAAACTGTTGATTACCCTAGCTTCAAGCTCGTTATTGTCGGCGATGGAGGAACAGGTACCAATTTCTTTCCTTTCCAATTCCGCTTTTCGATTTCAACTTTTTTTAATTCATCTTTTTTTTTTAAATTTCTCAACAAGTTTGTTACTTGATCATGATCTAGGTTATGGGCTATAGTATGCTTCATTGTGATGTTGTAATATTTTTCAGGGAAAACTACCTTTGTGAAAAGACATCTCACTGGTGAATTTGAGAAGAAATATGAACGTATGGGTTACTATTCTTTTTTAATTCTACAATATATTTTTACACACAATGTAACTTGTTTTGACATCTTAATTGATTGGTCTAATGTTGTGGTTTTTGTTATGAATAACAGCAACAATTGGTGTGGAGGTTCACCCATTGGATTTCTTCACTAACTGTGGCAAGATTCGATTTTACTGTTGGGATACTGCTGGACAAGAAAAATTTGGTGGACTTAGAGATGGATATTAGTGAGACTCTCTCTTTTTTTTTGTATTCAGTACTGATATTTGCTATTGTTTTTCCATTATGTCACTGATATCCTATTGTGTTTAGTATGACTCTGTTTTTTAGTTTACAAGGTTTCCTTTTATCATTGTTTAAAATATATTACTGTTGTCATCTTTATAAGTAAAATAAAATTTCAATTGTTAATGACTTAGTAAGTATATGTATATACTTATTTGCATGCATGAAATTAGGTTGAGGTTTAATTTATAGCCTCTCCTCTGAAAATTTTGGGTTGATGAATGGGTTGCTGGTTTTGTGAATATTTCATTTGTCATTTATTTGTATATTCTTCATCATATTGTGCTGACATGTTGCATCCTCTTTTCTTCTGTATCATTGCTAATTGTAGAATTTTTACCTTGATGATATTTATAATCGTTCCTTGTCTTTGGTGCTCTCTTCGTATTGTTGTTTTGCATGTCAATTACTTGTTTGGCTTGTCTGTGTGTATCTCTCCGGGTTGCCTTTGTTTTCTGTGTAGGAATTCTATCATTTAGCTACTGCAATTTAATATTTTTGTTATGTTGGAAATGTTTGTATAGTTAACTATGTAGCCATCATATGAATCTGCTTTACTTTTGTTTCTATGTCTGTGTTGCTCTTCTATAGTGTTTTTTTACATGGTGTAATATCTTGCAGTATCCATGGGCAATGTGCCATTATAATGTTTGATGTTACTGCCCGGCTGACATACAAAAATGTCCCCACCTGGCACCGTGATCTTTGCCGGTTCGTAACTTAAAGCCTTTTTTTAATACATATCTCTTTTTAGTCAGCAAATAGTTGGTTATATTAACTTTTATGGGCACCTTCTTCCGATTTGTTTTTCAGGGTCTGTGAAAACATCCCAATTGTTCTCTGCGGTAACAAGGTTGATGTGAAGAACAGGCAAGTGAAGGCAAAGCAGGTTACGTTTCACAGGAAGAAGAATTTGCAATACTATGAGATATCAGCTAAGAGCAACTACAACTTTGAAAAGCCTTTCCTCTACCTTGCCAGGAAACTTGCTGGGTATGTATATTTGGTTTATAAAAAGAACACATTGAACTTTAAAGTTCATCTCAGCTTATGTATTGCTACTTGTGTCATTTTGCAGGGATCCTAACTTGCACTTTGTAGAATCTCCTGCATTGGCTCCACCTGAAGTTCAAATTGATTTGGATGCCCAGAAAAAGTAAGCTTTCTTTCATGAACTGATCTCTTCAACAGCTCCGTACCTGCCTTATGGATAGCATGATTAAATTAAAATTGGAAATACAAAGCTAGCATTTTGAACTTTCTACAAGTGCTAGAATCCCGTTAATTTTTTCACTGTCTAAAAGGATTATGTTTTGATTGTTTTTTTCTCAGGCATGAGGATGAGCTTCTTGCAGCTGCTAGTCAGCCCCTTCCTGATGATGATGATGCATTTGAGTAAACATTTGTTCGTGTGTGGACCTTTTTATTGTGTTGCTGAAATTGTGTATGCTGCTACAATATGTTCCCTATGAGATGTTTTGGCTTCCATTGAAATTTTAACCTAATAGCCAAACCATACTTGTCTTCAAGAGCTTTATGTTTTTTGGTGTTACCCGTCCTTTAGTGATGGGACTTAATTTTATGGTCGTCTTTATTTTTTGGAAGTTATTTTCTCTTTTTCTGGGTACGTTAGTATGGTGTTGTGAGGAATGAATATCAATGTCCTGCTATCACAAACTCACAGACAATCCAAGTGATTCAGGAATACCGTGTCCTTATTTCAAAAATAAATGGAGAAAATGTTTTTGGTGTCAACCAAATGATGCATTTTGCACTTAATGATTAATTTCATATTTCATTTCCCTATCTCCATTAACGGTTTCTCCATTTATGATTGTTATTAGGAATTCTCCATAAGGTAAATTTAACAGAAATTATATAGCTACTTTATTTTATTGAAAATGTTAGAAATTTAAGTTCTTGTTAGTCAGATAGATTAGTTATAAAGTTTCAAAACGATAACGTTGGCAACTTTAGGAATCTATAGCACAGGAAACATTGTACTAAATAAAGAATGCAAACGATTCTTGTTCATCTCTTGGCAGGATCAATTTAGTGTTTCTTACATACTGAACATGAATCTTAGGCATGACAATGGTACCCATTGAGGTGGCATCTTAGCCATTAGTGACAATTATTCCAACCGAGGCCACAATTATGAGAATGTGATAAGAGTTAGTATAATATTTCTACAACACTCTCCTTGTGTAATATATTAATGGAAATTATATTTTAAGATCCAAACGTAAACATGCATAGTAAATTGTCTTATTGGAAAAACATTTATTGTCATTCACTATCTCTTGTGGTCAAGAAAATATGGAGTACTGTGTCTGAATATTCAAATTGATTTTTTTTAAATGAAAGTGACACATGGAGTAACATTGTTGGACAATTCCCTTTGCACCAATTAGCAGTGGCTATGAAATTCTCTATTCTATCATTCTTTCCTTTTCTGGATGAGATTATATCATCATAAAAAACTCTCAACATAAGTAATTTTCTTAAAAAATAAAATGTAAAATTTTTATTTCAAACATTACTAAAAATTAAGAAACTAGTTGTGTATAATAAGTAAATTCCTTTACAAACACATAACAAAATGGTTTCGTGGTGTAGTTGGTTATCACGTCAGTCTAACACACTGAAGGTCTCCGGTTCGAACCCGGGCGAAGCCAAATTAGAGTTTTGAACTTGTTTTTGTTTAAGTAGAAGGTAGGCCCAAAGTAAAAAGAGCCCAAATATGTATTGAGATTGTTGAATTTGAAAGTGCGTTATGCGTACGCTCTCTCTCTCTTGTTCCTTCTTCTTATAAATAAACTAAACCCTCACATTTCTTCTTCTCCATTCTCATCACCTCACTTCTTCTCTCTACTCCTCATAAACAATGGTATTCTCTCTCTCTCTCTCTCTCTCTCTCTGTTGTTAATGTTACTTTGTATTTATAATAATGTATCTGTTCGTTACAGGCTTTACCCAATCAGCAAACCGTTGATTACCCTAGCTTCAAGCTCGTTATCGTTGGTGACGGTGGAACAGGTTTCTTTTTTATACTATCTCTCTTTCTTTTCTTCTTCTTTACTCTTTACCTCCTTCACTTCTTTTCTTATTATCATTTTCAGGAAAAACTACCTTTGTCAAGAGGCATCTCACTGGCGAATTCGAGAAAAAATACGAACGTATGTTTTTTTTATTAATATAATGTATTGTGTTTTCATTGTTTATATATATATATATATATGATTCCTTGATGTTGTGATTTTTGTTATGAATAACAGCAACAATTGGTGTGGAGGTTCATCCATTGGATTTCTTCACTAACTGTGGCAAGATTCGATTTTATTGCTGGGACACTGCTGGTCAAGAGAAATTTGGTGGCCTCCGAGATGGATATTAGTAACAACACTCTCTATTTTTGGTTTTACATATTCTTAATGTTTCATTTGTTAGGAATGCTTCCAATTGAAATCAATGTTTTTCGAGGTTTCTTCTATTTGCCCGATGGTGGCTGTTATCTCATTCATTTTTTTTTTCATGAATGGATTGTTGGTTTGATAATAAGTTTCTATGTTTTCGATTCATATATGTTTGTGAAGATTTGAATCCTTAACATAGATTTAGAGACCTTTTACCATATGGTGCTCTCATTTAACATTTTCATCTTATGCAAGAGTGCCAAATCTACTAACCTTGAATTTGTATACCATTTGACCTTTTAGTTTTGCATCTCATTTACTTGTTTTTTTTTTGTTGAAAGTCTCTTTTTATTCGTTGCTTTAAGGAAATTTTATTGTTTGTGTAGGTATTCTTGAATTTTGTTTAATCCGCATCGTCTGAAATGTTCATGAAGTTTTTTTTATGCTGCCAAGATTTAAAACCTTCTCTACATTTATATAATTTATTTACTTTGTTTTAACCTGGTGTTGTATTGCAGTATCCATGGGCAATGTGCAATTATAATGTTTGATGTTACTGCCCGCCTGACTTACAAAAATGTCCCTACATGGCACCGTGATCTTTGCCGGTTAGTAACTGAAGTCCTGCAAGCCTTCTTCACTACTGTCTTAATTAGTTGGCAACAAGTTGTTTATATTATCTTATGGGCACATTCCTTCCTTCTTCTTTTCAGGGTCTGTGAAAATATCCCAATTGTTCTCTGTGGTAACAAGGTTGATGTGAAGAACAGGCAAGTGAAGGCAAAGCAGGTTACTTTCCACAGGAAGAAGAATTTGCAGTACTATGAGATATCAGCTAAGAGCAACTACAACTTTGAGAAGCCTTTCCTTTACCTCGCAAGGAAACTTGCTGGGTAGGTATCATTAGTTTATGCCTTCTACATGAGAAGTTAGAATACTTCAAACTTTTTAATGCACATTTCAACTTATGTATTGCTACTTGTGACAATTATGCAGTGATCCGAACTTGCACTTCGTAGAATCTCCTGCATTGGCCCCACCCGAAGTTCAAATCGATTTGGACACACAGAAACAGTAAGCTTTATTTCATGAACTGAACTTATAACGTTGTATACCTTCACTTATTGCTTTCATGATGTGAACAAGTGCAAAGCAAATAGTTGGTGCAAATTCAAATCTCCACTAGTCTGTAATTTATATAATGGGGGATTTTATTCACAGGCATGAGGATGAGCTTGTTGCAGCTGCTAGTCAGCCTCTTCCCGATGATGATGATGATGCATTTGAGTAAAAAAAGACTCGTGTGTCTGTAGATCAACTTCTTCGGTTGCTGTTATTTTGTATTTTACAATATGTCTTTGGGTGTGTATTGATCTAAAATCTTATCTTTTATGAGATGGATCTCTTAAATTGAAAATCTCACTTGATAGTGAGCCATTGCCATTTCATTGGTTGGTGGTTGTTTCAATGTTTTTGGAAGAACAGGTTATGCTGAGTCCCGTGTGAAACTTGAGTCATTAAACTCTCTCAACAAAGTACTTGGTTCATTTTATCCTGCTTTGTTTAAAAAAAATTATAACTAAAATCATTTATTGACTTGCCAAGAACAAAGTAAGAGAAGGTTTTTTATTAAATCATCTCAATGCGTGAAGCAGATTATTCAAAAAATTGTCAATTGTTTTGAGAGGACCATTTTTATGGAGAAGAGAGCCTGCTTTGGATGTCCTCTTCGTTTTTTCTTTTCTATATATTGGATCTCTTGAATGCTAAATCGATATTTGTCTTCTAGCCGACAAAAATGAATGTGTTGAATGTTATAACTAATGAGAAAAGGATATATAATGTGTACTGATACTGCAACTAATGCTTAAATATTAAACTCAACTAATTTCATTATAATTCATGTGCTGTGTACTTTGCTGTCTTTTTATTCATTGAATTTCATATGATATTTCATATAAGTAAGCTTATCTAATTTCATACATGTTAAAAAAAATAAGTTTAAGAAATAATTGATTTGATTTAATGGAAGGATACAAATAATTATGTATTATTATTCATAATGTGAAATTGTGTTAATTAAAAGTAATATACGTCAAATGTATTATTATTCAACATGATAAATTGTTTTAATTAAAAGTAATATTAAGACAAATGTAGTCAGATTTGTTTGTATTTGAAACCGAAAAATGTTCCACACCTTTTTATGCTTATAATTGGAACCAAATAAAATGAGGAAGTATGCATCATTATATAAGTCATGTTCGTTTTGTTAATTGATGCTCAGTAAAGCATAATCCATTGTTATGTAACAATAAAAACATTTAGTACATGTAAGTTGATATTAACATTGATAGTTTTTCTTGGCTAATGAAGTAATGATTAAAAGCATTTAAGAGTCATTATACAAATCATGCTGATTATCAATTATCGAAGTAACATTGAATATTAACAATACTGGTTACTTTGCTATATAGAGTTAATTATTCAAAACTGCATATAACTATAAAAAAACTATTATACAGAACAAAAATGGAATAACTCCGCATACAAGATAAAGTTGAAAGAAAAAAGTAACTGCGCATAACATTTGGCAGCCAACTTAGAATCGACGGAAGTCCCTGCAGATCTGTACCAGCTTAGGATAAACACATTAACTCAAACTTCGTGAGTGAATAACTTGATTATTGCATTAATATATTACTCACATTAAAAACATGTATTAAACACAACTGCCAAAAAAACTGTAAATAAATACCACCGCTAGAGAATATTTGTCTCTTAATACTATTACAGTCTTACACCTCATAGGCATTAATGTGGGCATGAAAGACCCTCTTGGGAGGTTCGTGTCAGCACAACTTATCACCCATCTTTTCTAAATCAATATAAAAATTATATGTCAGTCTCTTGGGTTCTTTCGGTATCTTTTCATCAATTGTTATAACATGTATATAGCTTCAATAATACACATTTTTTTGTCTCAAAATTCTTTTTAATTATCCTCTCACGTAATTTCATAGTATGACTCATGAGCTAATCTCCTATAGTTTTCACAGTATTGTATATCTTCAATTGTTTTAATAGATTGGGATTAAAATGTTTCTCCAGCACTCCTAAGCAAATAGCATGAACAAAAAATGAAATAAACAGAAATTATCAGAACAAGTGCATTATACGATCTTCAAGAAAGTTAAAGCCTGACTTCTGAAGAGACAAGGTGAGTGTCAATTCTAAGCAGACCTGAGGCATAAGGTACTGCTGAAGGCCAGAGAAACAATCTTAGCAAACATTGGTCACCAAATTCTTATCTCATGAAATTATTGGTAGATTTCACCAATTAATTTGCAAAGAGAAGAGTCAAACCTATCATCATGTTAGCCATTGAAAGCAAGGCAGGCAAGCCTCCTACACTGGCCCTGGAAAATGCAGTTGATTCATCAATAACACTCAATTGGTGGAAAAGTAAATTCTATAAAATAGGCAGCTAATATAGTTTGAGTTCAATATATTATCAGTGTATAAAGTTTTTTACACATCAATACATCATCCATCATTCATATGTATTACATACATTTAAGAGTCAATGTAATGACATATGAATGATGTATTACATACATTTAAGAGTCAATGTAATGACATATGAATGATGTATTACATACATTTAAGAGTCAATGTAATGACATATGAATGATGTATTACATACATTTAAGAGTCAATGTAATGACATATGAATGATGGACGAGCTCACAATGTAAAAAGCTCTAGTGTCATCATGGCATACAGTATTTTCATATAGCTTATCAACTTAAGCACAACTTCAGGTTTTTTGTAATAATGAATGGGGTCATGTTGTTCAAGTCATATCAATCATTGTTAAACATTGCTTTCCAGAAGAAGTTCACATCTTAAATTTTTTAAAAAGGACGATTAGAAAATCAAATAGCCTCCCAAAAAACACAAAAGAGGGGAATAAAGAAAAAGAACTATAACTTGATATATTATTAGTGAACGGTAGCATACTTTCCATAATACAAAGGATGATTTTAAAATATATATATTCTCTCTCTTTGTCAAAGCCTAACTATGCTGTACATAGATCAATAGAGATAAATAGAAAATTGTACAGTGACGTGCCATGTTAAACATTTAAAGATGCGGACAAGCTGAAATTAATTTCTTTAACTCCATTAAATGTTCAGCATTTGAAATATGGAGCAAAATACGAAGATCAGTCAATAATTCTTCTTGTTTCCAACTTAAACGA